GGGCGGTCGAGGCGGAAGCGGCCGGGTCGCATGGAGGAGCCGAGACCATGGCCTGACCGTTTCCCTGGCCAAGTCCCCGCTTCTTCTTGCGCTTAGGCCCGGCCGGCCCCGGCAGCGCCCGGGGGGATGCTAGGGACGGAGCGAGGGGGTTGGTGGCGACGTGCCTCGAAGGTGGCAGCAGGGGGGCGGTCGAGGGCCATTGAGCGGGAGCGCCCGCCGCGGCCAGGCGAGCGGCCACCGTCGCGGCGTCGGGGAGGAGACGGGGAGCGGCGGCGCTGCGTTCTTCACTCGGGAGCGGGCTCGGGCGAGCGGGACCGGGAACGGTCCTGGCGATCAGCCCTGGCCGGAGAACGGCGCGGCGGGGAGCGGTGGCCGGAGCGAGGGGGCGAGCGACGGTCGGGACGGAGAGGGGAACGGCGGGAGTCGCGGGATGAGAGTTGCCGGCGAAGGTCATCCTCATGGCGGGTGGCTTCGGGAGAGGGCCGGGGGGCAGTGCGGTGGTCTTCAGCCCGCCTCTTGGGGCGCGGGGTGTCGTCCCCCCACGTGCGCGGCATGGGTGCTGACAGGGAGGGCGCGAGGGGGCAGACGGGGGGAGTGGCGGCGGCGGGGAGCGAGTGAGGCGCGACCGCTAGGGTTCCTGACGAGGAAACAGAGGAGGAGTGCGGGGATGGGGGTCGAGGCAGCCCAGCAGGGAGCCAAATAGCCGGGCGAGCCGAGTGGGCCGGCTGTTGTGGAATTGTCACGGCAGATGTCCTAGATGCCAGGACTTAGTCGTGAGGCCAACGCATCTATGTGGTAGCTTGAGAGGGGTTGAGCGGAATTGAGAGACGCAACATAAGACAAGGATTTAGACAGCTTCGGGCCCCGGAAAACATCATCCGGTAATAACCCTACATGCTATTTGCGGCTAGATCTCATTATGCTCATGAGAGAGTCGTCGGTAAGCTGGCTCTTTGTGTCTAGCCCTAGAGATTGTTTCTTCTTGCTTGTCCCTCTTTGGGGAGCCCTGCCCCTCCTTATATATGTTGAAGGGGCGGCTTACATGTAGAGTCCTAGTAGGATTAGAACTAACTTATTCTCTATTACAAGTCGGATACAAGTACGGGTCTTGCTTCCTTGTAAAGGGAATACTCTTCATGCCTTCCGTCTTAAGCCGGCCCACTAGAGTATAAGCCGGTCTGCTGGGCTTTGGGCCTTGTCGTCCGTCTGATCCGCCCGTCGGGTCTCCAGTGAGTCACAATGTCCAAGCGGGTTACATGTAAACCGCCATGTCCGGGCGGATCGCCAGTAAGTCGCCTAGCTCCAGCCGGGTCTCTGGTGAGTCACCAAGTCCCAGCCAGGTCATCCATCCAGCCGGGTCATACCGCGGGGTATATCCCCGACATTAGCCCCCAGTTTAATTTGGATTTAACCATGTTTAAACTGATCCTACAAAATAACTCAAGAACAATTTTGACAGGTTGTGCTCCGGGTTAAATATTCTTGTAAGCCGTCACCTGAACATCTTTAAGTCCTTGTCATTTCCTTGTTGATATAAATATGTCCATATCCCCATAGAAAATCTTCTTTAACTGATATGCTTCAACTTTGTCAATGCAAATAATCCAGATACTTCTTTTTGAAAAATCCGGGTCAATAGGCCAGCTTTAGAATCAATTTGCTGACATTGGTTTTCTTGTAGAGAAATATAGTAAGAGATAATCCACTTGAGTCGGCCTTCAAAACGTCGGTTTAAAAAATATTGGTCTTCAAAGTTGAGATTACATCAAATATACAAGTCCCATGTCACTGCCAGCATGCAACATGACACTTGGGGGCTAATGCAAAGTCATTTTTGCTCACTTTATTGAAGACCTGACTCATCACATTGTAATGAACCGACTCTTGGGGGCTACCAATTGCTCCTGTCAACAATTCAAGGTTGTGGCATTTATATTGAAGCAAGTCTTAAGCTGTTGCTACGCTACCTTCTTAAGTCTTGGGGGCTACAAGTGATAAGCATATAAGAGGTATATTTTCAAGCTGGATGTTAACTTATGACCCGGTGCCATCCTTAAACTGGCTGAAGATAAACCGACAATTTTTGGCAATGATAAACCGGCTTTGGCGATGATAAACCGGCAAGCTCTACATCTTCAAACCGGCTGAAAACCAGATAAGTATTTCAAAGCCAATATTTTTAAGCATTGGGAGCTGATTCAAATAAATTATTCTTTGCAATATTTCTATGAGAAACCAATATCATCAAATTGATTATGAAGTTATCCTATTAACCCGGACTTTGGAAATGATAAGGATCTAAGGATGAACAGGTGCCGGTTCAGAAAAACTTTTAATCCGGAGCACAACCTGTCAAATTTGTTTTTGTGTTTATTTTGCAGGATCAGTTTAACATGGATAAATCCAAATTAAACTGGGGGCTAATGTCGGGGATATACCCCACGGTATGACCCGGCCGGAAGTATGACCCGGCCAGACCTCGCGATTCACTGGTGACCCACCCTGACTTGGCGGTTCAACAGATGACCCGCCCAGATTTCTCACTCACTGATGACCCGGCCGAGCTAGGTCATTCATTGGTAACCCGGCCGACGGGTTAGAGGAACGACAAGACCCGGAGGCCCAAAAGGCTCAAGGCCCAGAAGGCCGGTTCACGTTATGGTGGTCCGGTTTAAGATGAAAGGCATAAGGAGTTTATTTCTTACAAGAGTAGTTGGAGTCCTACTAGGACTCTACATGTAAACCGCCCCTTCAAACATATATATAAGGAGGGGCAGGGCACTCCTAGAAGGAGAAGTTTTTACAAGTCTAGATACACAGAGAAATCGATGACTCTCGAGATGAGAGATAGCGAAACACCGCCCTTGTAACCGAGATCATCATCATCAATATTAATCAAGCAGGATGTAGGCTTTTACCTCCACCGCGAGGGGCTGAACCTGGGTAAAATCTCGCGTCTCTCGCTCCCGCTCAACCCCTCTCAAGCTACCACATAGATGCGTTGGCCTCACGACTAAGTCCTGGCAGCTAGGACATCTGCCGTGACAATTCCATGACACCGGCCCAGCAGCTGATCCGGGAGGGGGGCCCAAGACCGAGGGGGCGGCCCGCAGGGGGGGAGGCCCATGATGCGTTCGGCCCAGGGCACCACGGTCCAGCCAGCAAGGCAGGGAGGACGGGGCGAGGGTTTCCCCTGCCGCCGCCGTCCTCGCCGCGGCCGGCGCCGGGGCCACCAGGGGAGCGGGCCATGATCTTCGGGGAACGCGGATGGGAGACAGGCGCAGCGCGGAAGACCCGAATGTCGCGATGAAGGGTCTGAAGGGCGAGACGCGACGGATGGGCGGAGAACCCGCCGCATGGCGCGGGGGCGCTCGAGGCACGACGGCCGGGGAGGCAACCGTTGCAAGGTGCCAGGACGTGCACGCCAGCCCCTGGTCGGACTGCCCCGGGACACCCCACGCCGGAGCGCGGAGGCGGCGGCGAGCGGTCCTGGGTCCCAAGGCGGCGGCTTTCCTAGGCGTCAATAGCGAGGGCATCGCGGTAGAACGACAAGGGCGCGAGAAAGCATCACAACAACCGGCCCGGGGCGGGGGCGGGGGCGCGGAGACCACCCGGGGCACGACTGGCCGAGCCGGGGGGTCCCGGCGCACAACCGGGTGGCCGGCCGCCACATCGGCCAACTCCGCCAAGTCCGCCCAACGGAACGCCGGGGACGGCGAGGAGAACGGAGAGGGGGAGGGGGGCAGCGGACGGGGAGGCCAGGGGTGCGAGAGCAGCGGAGGAGGCCGCCGGCGGCGGGAAGGGCGGCCGCGGGCGCCGGGTCGCCAGGGGCGTCGCGGGAGCTCATTTCAAACTCAGGTCCACGAAAATCCACCCCCTCAGCACACATCATAAGCAGAGCAGAGTATAAACAGAGGATCAACTACTTAACAGCATATTTCAGATAAGTAGTACCACACTTCATAACAGTTCAAGCATAAACCATAAACATAAACAGATCAAAGCAGACTCGTAGTACTTAGGAAGGAGGTGCCCCGGCCCTAGTCCCTGGCGGCGAAGGCTTCGTCGTGCTTCCCGCACTTGTTGACGACCTCAATGCCATCGTCGTCGAAGATGATGACCTTGAGGGTGTCGGGAGTGAGGAGTTTGAACGTCACCATGTAGTCGATCTTGATATGATGAACGACTGTGTAGGTGGCCCAACCCTGATCCAGGGTCATCCTGCCGTTCATCAGCTTCACCGTCACCTTCCAGGAGCAGCCGGTATTGTTTCTAAGCTTGAACTCCGTCGGCACCTCGACGAAGTGCTTGGTGAAGTCCAGGGGCATGGGGATGCATTCAAGCTTCGGTGCAAGGATGACCTTGCAGAAGTGAGTTGGGCCATCCTCCTGATGGTAGTGGCCGTAGTTGCGGCGCTTGTTGCCGGGGGGCTCCTCCATGCCCTCGTCGTCGCCAACCTCAGGCGTCTTCGTGTCTTCCTCGGCGGTGGGCGGCAGCACAACCTCGTCGGGCATTGGATGAAGGGGCTGCTTGCCCTTGTTGTCAACGGCCGGGAGCACCTCCGTGCCCATCTCATTGCTCTCCTCGATCTGCACACAATTCATGGAGTCAGGCACAACACAGTGTTCATGGCTTATTGAAGAGCATGTAGTTAAAACGGCATGACTGTCACTCTTCTCCTCCTCTCCATCGCTCCTATATTTACTCACCCTGCCCAGCACTACTTACCCACCCCCTCTCTTCTCTCACTGTCAACCTTCCTCTCCATCGCCATGAGCTCTAGCTACAACTACAACGCCAACCCCTTCCCTTGGGGTATTGGCTGGAGGGCCTTCTTCCTCGGGTGGTCGGCTGGTGACCGCACCAAGTTCCAGAACACCATGGAGGTGTGCTCGAACTTCGGCTCCATGCCTGACATGCAGAAGGAATCTGATGCAGTGCTCATGAGGGCCACTGCACAAGAGCTGAAGACGCTGATTCCTGACCCAGTGAAGGGCGCGATGGCAGTTGACATCATTCGCTGGGCCATGAATCAGGCCGTCTCCGACGACGCTAAACAGAGGAAGAAGTGGTGCAAGTACAAGACCTACTGGGCTCCTAATGACCGCCGTGCCGCAGTGTACTGGGAGACGGCAATCGCGCCGCCGTCGGTCATTGGTGGGGAGCCTAAGGAGGAGGAAGAACCGGCGCAGATGCCAGCAAGGGCGCCGGAGCCAGGCCGTCGTACCTGGCAGATCGACCTCGACTCCGCCGAGGACGACGACGACGACCCGCCACCCCGCACGGCGATGAACAAGAAGATGAATGCCAACGGCTTGACCCGCCGCTCCGCACGCCCGTGACGGCCACCGCGGTGAGCCGGTGTCCGTTGTGTACCCCCAATCCCCCTTCTGCATCCGCATCTACCTCTATTCCGATCTTCCATGAACTAGTTTGAAGTACTATGAACTCGTATGAACTACCTCTACATTCTTATCTACCTCTATTCCCCATTCCCCTCCGCCGTGGATCGAATCTATCGCCGGATCGAACAGGAAAAAGTACTGCATGTCGAACAGAGAGAAATGCTTACCGCCATTGCCGCGGGCCAAGTGATGATCCGCTCGCCGGTGATGGAATCTGGTGGTCTTCTTGCTCTGCTCCGATCCGCCGCCGCCGGTGAGAGTTGGGAGAGTGGGGGAGAGTGGGAAAAGGGAGCGGTGAGGGGCGGTGAGGCTAATAACTGCCGGCGCTTCGGGAAGCAATGCGGCTTCTCGAGCGTGGCCGCGCGCGTGCAGCCGCCGCCGCCCACGTGCACCGCTCGGGCCTGGCCCTGGAGAAACTGCCGATTCGAGCGTTCCGAGGGAACCAGGCCCAGGAGTGCTTTAAGTTTCGTGCCATGCGGGCCGAACAGTAAAAGCAGGCGTTCCGCACGAGCCAGGCCGGGCCTCATGCAGGCAACCAAACACGCCCCAAGTGATTTTAGTTTCTGTGAGCTGTAGACATCTGGGTTCGTTCTTGTAACCTAGCCTTGCTTGACCATCTTAGCCTTCCTCTTCATTTATAAGATTCCTGTTTCTCAGGAGAGAAGGTCGAAATGTGACGAAACAGAACCATTTACTCCCCAGCCCCATTTTCCTAATTTGATGCTTCTTTGTACTCTTAGCTCTCACATTTTCCATGGTCTTGTGATTTTACAGGTTGAAGGGTCATCTGCATGATCCTTTCCATGGCCCCCGGAGTCCTGCCCATCCCACCAAGCGGTCCAGTCACCTCACTGTGAGTGTGAGCTATTCTTGTTCACTTACTTCACTTGTTTCTGACTCACCTGTATTTCTATTGTGTTTAAATGGTTATTTGTTCAGGGAGAAGAACCAGTGGCTACGTCGGTGAGTGGCCGTCCTGACGACCTTGCTTGGCGTTGCTCCTCTGATACTTTTGACCTCAATGGCCGTGCATTTGAAAACTCAGAGAACTGGGCAGTATTGTCAACGGACGGGGATAAACCGAGTCCTCGTTTTGATGTAATTAACCATCTTATTGATGTTTTGAAGTGTATAGGAAGTTGTGATGTTTTCATCATTATCGGTTTCTATACGGAAGCCTCTATAACACATTCATCTGGTTACCATTTCAAACAGCATGCAGCAGCCATGGTAGGGAGCAAAATGATTGTCTTCGGTGGAGATTCCGGTAATCATTTGCTGGATGATACAAAGGTATTGATGTTGTTTTTCTAGACGAGCCTATCTGTCATGGCCTTATGTCAGTTTTGAGCTAACTTCGTGATATCATCTTTATATACACTTCAGATATTAAGCTTAGACAAGCTTACATGGGATTCTGTGGCTTCTAAAGTTCGTGTATCACCAGGTGGACGTTGTGCGCAGTTTCGACCATGCAAAGGACATTGCCTGGTATACTTCTTGGAGCTCATTGTTCTTTTACTACTCTGGTCTTTTTCTTCAATTTCTCATATGATATCCTTAGACTAGTAGTGCATTTCAGGGTTGTCAGTTGGTGCATGCTTGGGTTATAAGTCCCTTATCTTTATTAAGTTTACTGGAAGTTATACTCTGGTGAATAATAAACCATGGAATGATTTGTAAAAAAATGTAGGTAAAGAATGGTGATTTTTGAGAAAATAAAGAATGATGATTGTTGAAGTTCAAGAATCAACTTTCGAGTAGGGGTATCCTTAGCAATGTGGTTAAATATTAGTAGGCGGGGGTGGGTACGGCGGACTTTTCAAAGTGACACAACGATGTTTTTTAAATAGGTTTAGTCGCCTCGTGGGAGGGCGACCTACGTCCTATGGAAGGGTCGTCGAGAGTGGTGCCTGACGCATGGAACACTTAGTGTGGCCCGACTAATCCGGGCCTTTGAAGGTCCCTTGGACTCCGAATCTCGACCTTCCTAACTCTCCTGAGAGAGCTACTGGGAGAGCGACCCTCCTTTTGAGTTTATTCATGTGGGAGTAAGTGATTTACATGCCCATGGGGGGCCTTATATAGCCTAGGGGTCCTTGACAAAGGGTACCCTTGAAGTGAGGAGTTAGGAGCGTAGAACTATGGAATTTTCCGTTCTTTGGCCCATGTACCTCTAGTTGGGCTAGGAGGTGGGTTGTGGCAAGGGAGAAGCCCTACACTATTCGTGGGCTTCCTTGCTTGGGCTTCTTCCTTTGACTTGTTGACCACGAAGCCTTGCTTGGACTTATTCTTTGTTCCTTTGCCTTCAACTTTGACTCATTCTTTTATGTGGTCTTCTTCCTTTGACTTGTTGACCATGAAGCTTGGCTTGGACTTTCGTTGACTAGGGTGTCTTGCTTGAACCCATGGGGGATAGTTTGGACTATTGTTGACTGCTTTGACTGGTGTTGACTGTCCTTGACTTTTGTTGACTACCTATGTGGTGGGCCATGTAGGATAAGGGTGGGACCTCAAGTAGAGCCGAAGTAATTACTACAACAATGATTAGCACTTCTCGTTTCTCATTTTGTCTTCAATTGCAACTCTGCAGCCCTTAATACCACATTGCATGCATATAATGCCTGCTTGCCCAATTGGTAGCATTTAGGGGTTAACACTACACCTCTAGGTGAAATGCGTACAAAAGCCCAAAATGAGGTGCTACACATGCATGCCCAGAGTTCCAGAGGTGGACTGCGCTTTGAGTGAATTTTGTTACATTCGTCATGGTTTTCTTTTGAATCTTAGGTTCCATGGGACAAGACTGTCATTCTTGTCGGAGGGAAAACCGAGCCATCTTCTGACCGGATATCAGGTTTGACTTAATGTTAAACTTTCAGCAGAAATAATTTGGACTTCATCATTTATTTTACCGCAGTATGGACATTCAATACGGAAACCGAGATCTGGTCGCATATGGAAGCGAAGGGCGACATTCCGGTACATATTCGAACATTGATTTATACAATGCTCAAATGTTCATTGCAAAATGAGAGAAGTTTTTTCCTCAATTGATAATTTCAGGTGGTTCGAAGTGGTCATACAGTGACTAGAGCAGGCCCTGTTTTAATTCTTTTTGGGGGCGAGGATACCAAAGGGAAGAAACTACATGACCTTCATATGTTTGATCTGAAGTCCTTAACATGGCTTCCTTTGAACTATAAGTGAGTCATTCTTCTCTAAAACTAAGAAGTGTTATGTCTATAAACAAATGAAACAAAAAAGAAGCCAAGTAAGAATGTTTTTTCAGTTACACTTGGTTTGTCCATAGTTATTTGCAGAACCAATACATACAATTTAATTAACACTCAATGCATAGAGCCTTCTTGATGCTTCTCTTGATTTGATGTGCTATTTTCTGCTACTAAGCCAAGTTCATGTTTTAGAGGTGCTGGACCTTCTCCAAGATCCAATCATGTTGCTGCACTTTACGATGATAGAATTCTTTTGATTTTTGGAGGCCAATCAAAATCCAAGACCTTGAATGATGTCCACGCTCTAGATTTTGAAACAGTATGTTCGATCAGGTTTCTGCAAAAAAAAATCTTGTTGATCTCCTACTGAAAGAATCATTCTTCTTGTTAGATGGTATGGTCAAGAATGAGAACACATGGTCATCATCCATCACCTCGGGCAGGTTGCTGTGGAGCTCTCTGTGGGACGAAATGGTATATAGCAGGGGGTGGAAGCAAGAAAAGGCGTAAGTTTGTAATGTGATGCTCTCATTCATAAATTGTATATAATATGCCATATGAGTGGTTCAGTTTCATTTCTAACCCTTAACCAGAAGTGTGTTCATTTCTTAAAAGAGTTGCTTCATTTGAACCATGGATTCTGGTCATTTTCTAACAAGTCTTCTCGGTCTCTATCAGGTCATCCTGAAACTTGGGTCTTTGATGTCCTAGAATCCAAGTGGTCTGTTTGTGTAGTACCTCCTAGTTCCTCCATCACTACCAAGAAAGTAAGTGCAAGTCATCCTTGATGGATTCCAAGTGATCTCGGAAGGCATGTATTGTATCATATTCAACCTTCCTAAAATGTACAGAATGCAAAGTTTAGTATTGTATAAAGTTGTATTCTCCTATGTAATCCTATTGTACCATATTTTTTTCGAAATGGAGGCAATTTTTTTTGCCTCATCCATTAATTAAGGAGTTAGACAAGGTTTTAACTAGAAGACTAGAGTCGAATACGCCCCCCTTACTAGAAAAATAAAGATCATCGTAGTTGTTTCCTATGTAATCCATGCTGAAGTAGAGCAGAAACAACACTCTCCAAAAGCAAATCCTATTCAAATCCCTGTTATTCCAGTGATGCCATTTTTCTAGTTGCTGAACAATTGAAGATACAACTCGTGCAGGGTTTCAGCATGGTTCCTTTGTACTACAGGGATAAGATTGTTCTTGTTTCATTTGGAGGAAACAAAAAGGAGCCATCTGATAAGGTAAAAAACTAACCTTTTTAAAGCATCAGGAGTTTTGGACTTCAATTTCTTGTTCTTTCGTTGCAAGGGGATTTTCTGATATTTGCTTCAAAATGTAGTTCTGTTTTTTTATTTCATATTTTGCTTAGAAAACACTTGAACTGTTTCTTGATCAAGCTACTATTCCTGAATTCAGATTATTTTGTGTTTTCAAAGGTCGAAGTACTAGTGGTGCTGCAAAATGAACATTGTTTCAGTTGGCGGTCTGCCCCTGATGCAGAACCCTTAATGTATGAGGACTCTTCTCCTAGCTCAAAGGAACTCGCGGATCACCTCAACAACTGCGATCCTTTGTACTCTAACTCTGTAGCAAGGCATAGTCTCGCGACAACAGTGGAAAGCTCATCTGGGAGGAAATCACTCCCTGATTCACTCCTACATAACTCGAAGGTGGGCGGCTCATCACTCCGCAGGCAGTTCCGTCAGGAGGAGGAATGCAGCCTGGCCCAAAAACTGCAGAAGCCAATCGACGATGACAAGTACAAGGATGTTGACGATTGTTCTGAGCTACCATCCTTCGCAAACCAAAAGCAGCGGAGTGACACATATCATTCTCCAGATGCGGATGCTAAAACGAAGAGGGTGGGCAGAAGTTCGTCTGACATTAACCATCAACATGATACAAAAATCGCAAACTTGGTCAGGAGAAACATGGCGCTGGAAGAGCAACTTTCAGCTGCAATGGCGAGCAAAGACGAAGCAGAAAAGAACTTATCTCTGGTCATTGACACGAAGGAAGAGCTAGAGAAGAGGCTAGCTGAGAGAGACAGGGAGGTTGTGGCGCTGAAGGAGAAAGTGGGAGGATTAGAACAGGCACACGAAGATTTGAACAACGCCTCAAACACTGTCCATGCTGATAACGTGCGGCTCGAGCGTGAAGTGGCGTTCTTGAAGGCAGTCATGGATGAAACTCAGAAGGCAAAAAAAATAAAAATCCCTGTGTTCTCTCATTGTACCAGTGTTTATGCAGTTGTACTGACTATTTTACCCCCTAAACAGGAGTTTTACTCGACCCGCGGAGTTCTAGCAGGAGAGCGCGCGAGGGCATTCCAGCTCCAGGTATAATGGCAGCGTTGAATGATCAGGTTCTTTCCTGATTGGTAGATACAGAGGGACTGCCAATAGCAGTTTCCATTTTTTCATGATTTGCCATGCTGATATCCAGTTTTACTTACATTTGCATCTGTGATATTTGCTTTGCCAGGTTGAAGTGTTTCATCTGAAGCAAAGGCTGCAATCAATGGATGGACGGTCACCTACACAAAGAAAACCTCAGAATCTCTAGGTTCCAGAGGTCAAATCTCAAATGTGGATAATGATGCGAATACCTTGCATCCTGATGTAAACTAATTGTTACCATGCCTATTTTTGCGTCAAAACATCAGGGGCGTGTTTGGTTGGTTACCATGCTTCGCCACACCTGGGTTGTGTGAATTCACATATTTTGTGGCGACCAAACTGGGCAAGCGCGGTAATGAACCGAACATGCCCCAGGTATGCATATGTTCTGATCCATCGTAGGGAGGATTGTGTGCTAGATACTAAGGTTGTGAGATGTGGATTGATTTGCAACTGTCTGATCTAGTAATGTGCATATCCTTGTTTTTGAAACTTCTCTTGAGAGAGCGTGAAACTCTCTCTTTTCAGTTTAAACTAGTAATTTGCCCGTGTGTTCGATGGCAAAAATAACATGTTTATGACCTATGTAGTGCAAATTTGTGGCGACCTGGTCCCGGATAAGGAACATGAATCTCTCTATTTTCTGTTCTAGTCCCTGGATCAATAGCTGTCGTGCACAATTCATGATCAAATACCAAGATACATCACATGTCATAATATTGCATTGCAGTCATAGTATTACATCATAGATTCAGTCTCTTTAGAATAGATACCAATCTAGCTCAAGGCTAGCTTATACAATCATGCAACGGAATTACAATATTATCTTGTGGCATTCATTTCACAGCTAAAACTTGAGTATAGCATCATAACCCTACTTTGTGTCTCTCCTTCGATGCGGACAATCCTGCAACATGATATGTTACAGCATCAAGATACCTTACAGCCATAAGGGTCAATACATCCAATGGCAAGTTTCACTTGAATGAAATATAAGCAAAATCTAAATTATGTTCTTGGGACAAGTGGTGGCTGGTTTCATTTGCAGAAAGCAATAATAGTTGTATCCTATCTAAGGTGGACCTACTTTTCACATAGGACTCCTGACACGGGGTAAAGCAGTAATAGCATTAATGTTGTGTGCTATCTAAGGTGGATCTAAAGCGGTAATAGTTGGTTGGTGCAGCTAGCTTGGCTCGGGGACGTCGGGGGCGACGGGCGGCGGAAATCTTCAGGTAAGACACTCGTCGATTCCAAGCGCTCCTCGCATGCAGCTAGGTCAGGCATGCACGCGTGGACCCGAGAAACACAAGAGACAAAATGGGGCGCTCGGGTTCGTGCTCACCTTCCCGACGTCGAGCTCGCGGCGACGACGAGGCTCGACTCTCAACGGATTCGAGCTCTGGGGGAAGTGTTGAATTTGGAGGCGCGAAGGGTGTCTGGCGGGGTGCCTCTGGATGTGGTGAAGGCGTTAGTGGGGGTGGCTTACAGAAATTTGGCTGGCGGCGGCTCTGGCAGAAGGCGTACGAGGTGGGTTCACGAAGGCGCAGCCCAACGGTGAGGGACGACATAAGTTGGGGCAAAAATCCAGATGAGCTCATGGGGTTCTTAAGGACATGGTCTCGAGCTCGGGTCGTGTGGGGAGTGGCCGAACGTGCGATCGTGGGCGCGGTAAATGCAGGATGGGAAACGTTTGGAAACGGCGCGCCGGTCACGCGTCACGCGGTCAAAGGGCCTGCACGCACACTCCCTGCTATTATTCTCCTTCCTTCTTTTCTTTTCTTCCTCCCTCGCTTCTTCTCTGCTTCTTTTCTCAGGCCCCCGTCATGGTCTACCATCGCTGTCTCAGGGCGCCGCGACCACGGGAATTAGCCGATCCAGCCGCCCTCGGCCAGATCTGCACGAATCCATGCCACCCGAGCTCTACTTGCCTTGCCGGAGCTACAACCGACCACGCCATAGCTGCAAACGTTGAAGCTTTTTCCATACCCGCTTGTAGCTCTCGTCAACGCTCGTTGCAGCTTTCGCTGTCGCCCCGTAGCTCTCACCAACGCTCGTTTTTTTGAAAGTTTCATGGCGGAAGCTTTTTTCCACACCGATTGAAGCTTTTTTCCACACCGGATGAAGCTTTTCTGCTATGGTTGAAGCTTTTTCCCATTCCGATTGAAACATTTTTTACACCGGTTGAAGCTTTTCTTGACGTCGGCTGAAGCATTTTTCCATGTCTGAAGCTTTTTCTTCTAAGTCGGCTGTAGCTTTTTTCATGGTTGAAGCTTTTCCGATGCCATTTGAAGCTTTTTTCAAGCAGTTGAAGCATCCCCTGGTGCTTTTTGCAACACCACCGTCGGGGTGCGCCGTTGTAGCAGGGGGTTGGGTGGAGTTTTTTCCCATTCCGATCGAAACATTTTTTTACACCGGTTGAAGCTTTTCTTGACGCCGGATGAAGCATTTTTCCAAGTCTGAAGCTTTTTTTCTAAGCCGGCTGTAGCTTCTTTCATGGTTGAAGCTTTTTCCGATGTCATTTGAAGCTTTTTTTCAAGTGGTTGAAGCATCCCCTGGTGCTGTTTGCAACACCACCGTCGAGGTGCGCCGTTGTAGCAGGGGGGTTGGGTGCTCGTTGGTCGCAGCACCGGGACGGGACGGTTCCAGCATCCCCGGACGCAGCCAGGTCGCACGGCTTCAGGAGCTTGAGGACCATGCCATGGCGTGCCCTAGGAGCCATGGCGGGTCTGCGATGCCGGCGAGCCTGAGTGTGCGGCGGCGCTCTGATCTCCGGTGAGGGAAATACGACGAGGGTCACCGGCGCTCGTGATACGTCTCCGACGTATCTACTTTTCCAAACACTTTTGCCCTTGTTTTGGACTCTAACTTGCATGATTTGAATGGAACTAACCCAGACTGACGCTGTTTTCAGCAGAATTGCTATGGTGTTATTTATGTGCAGAAACAAAAATTCTCGGAATGACCTGAAACTTCACGGAACATCTATTCGGAAATAATAAAAAATCCTTGCAAAAGATGAAGACCAGGGGGCCCACCACCTGTCCACGAGGGTGGGGGGCGCGCCCCCTACCTCGTGGGCCCCCTGGAGCTCCTCCGACCTCAACTCAAACTCTATATATTTGCTTTCGGGGAGAAAAAAATCAGAGAGAAGAATTCATCGCGTTTTACGATACGGAGCCACCGCCAAGCCCTAAAACCTCCCAGGGGGGCTGATCTGGAGTCCGTTCGGGGCTCCGGAGAGGGGAATTCGTCGCCATCGTCATCATCAACCATCCTCCCTCACCAATTTCATGATGCTCACCGCCGTGCGTGAGTAATTCCATCGTAGGCTTGCTGGACGGTGATGGGTTGGATGAGATCTATCATGTAATCGAGTTAGTTTTGTTAGGGTTTGATCCCTAGTGTCCAATATGTTCTGAGATTGATGTTGCTATGACTTTGCTATGCTTAATGCTTTTCACTATGGCCCGAGTGCCATGATTTCAGACCTGAACCTATTATGTTTTCATCAATATATGAGAGTTCTTGATCCTATCTTGCAAGTTTATAGTCACCTATTATGTGTTATGATCCGTTAACCCCGAAGTGACAATAATAGGGATACTTACCGGTGATGACCATAGTTTGAGGAGTTCATGTATTCACTATGTGCTAATGCTTTGTTCCTGTACTTGCTACGTCTTGAGCTTGCGTTGGTTTTCCCCGAAGAGGAAGGGATGATGCAGCAGAGTAGCGTAAGTATTTCCCTCAGTTTTTGAGAACCAAGGTATCAATCCAGTAGGAGCCCACACTCAAGTCTCTCGTACCTGCACAAAGCGATAGCTACTCGCAACCAACGCCATTAGGGGTTGTCAATCCCTTCACGGTCACTTACGAGAGTGAGATCTGATAGATATAATATTTTTGGTATTTTTGGTATAAAGATGCAAAGTAAAAAGTAAAAGCAAAGTAAAAAAGCAAAGCAAGATTAAAGTAATGGAGATTGATATGATGAGAATAGACCCGGGGGCCATAGGTTTCACTAGTGGCTTCTCTCAAGAGCATAAGTATTCTACGGTGGGTGAACAAATTACTGTTGAGCGATTGACAGAATTGAACATAGTTATGAGAATATCTAGGCATGATCATGTATATAGGCATCACGTCCGTGACAAGTAGATGGAAACGATTCTGCATCTACTACTATTACTCCACTCATTGACCGCTATCCAGCATGCATCTAGAGTATTAAGTTAAAAACAGAGTAACGCCTTAAGCAAGATGACATGATGTAGAGAGATAAATTCATGCAATATGAAATAAACCCCATCTTGTTATCCTCGATTACAACGATACAATACGTGCCTTGCTGCCCCTTCTGTCACTGGGTAAGGACACCGCAAGATCGAACCCAAAGCTAAGCACTTCTCCCATGGCAAGAACTACCAATCTAGTTGGCCAAACCAAACGGACAATTCGAAGAGACTTGCAAAGATAACCAATCATACATAAAAGAATTCAGAGAAGATTCAAATATTATTCATAGATAGACTTGATCATAAACCCACAATTCATCGGTCTCAACAAACACACCGCAAAAAGAAGATTACATCGAATAGATCTCCACAAGAGAGGGGGAGAACTTTGTATTGAGATTCAAAGAGAGAGAAGAAGCCATCTAGCTACTAACTATGGACCCGAAGGTCTGAGGTAAACTACTCACACTTCATCGGAGAGGCTATGATGATGTAGAAGCCCTCTGTGATGACGACCCTCTTCCGGCGGAGCTCCGGAACAGGCCCCAAGATGGGATCTTGTGGATACAGAAAGTTGCGGCGGTGGAATTAGGTTTTTGGCTCCTGTTCTGATCATTTGGGGATACGTGTGTATATATAGGAGGAAGAAGTACGCCGGAGGAGCAACGAGGGGCCCACGAGGCAGGGGGCGCGCCCTAGGGGGGGGGCACCCTCGTGACCGCCTCTTTTGTTCCTTGGAGCAGGGTCCAAGTCTCCTGGATCATGTTCGGTGAGAAAATCACGTTCCCGAAGATTTTATTCCATTTGGACTCCGTTTGATATTCCGTTTCTTCGAAACACTGAAATAGGCAAAAAAACAGCAATTCTGGGTTGGGCCTCCGGTTAATAGGTTAGTCCCAAAAATAATATAAAAGTGGAAAATAAAGCCCAATATAGTCCAAAACAGTAGATAATATAGCATGGAGCAATCGAAAATTATAGATACGTTGGAGACGTATCAGGCATCCCCAAGCTTAATTCCTGCTCGTCCTCGAGTAGGTAAACAATAAAAAGATAATTTTTGATGCGGAGTGCTACTTGGCATAATTTCAATGTAAATCTTCTTAAATGTGGTATGAATATTCAGATTAGAAAGATTCAAGAAAAAAGTTTATATTGACATAAAAAATAATAATACTTCAAGCATACTAATAAAGCAATTATGTCTTCTCAAAATAACATGGCCAAAGAAAGTTATCCCTACAAAATCATATAGTCTAGTTATGCTCCATCTTCACCACACAAAGTATTTAAATCATGCACAACCCCTGATGACAAGCCAAGCAATTGTTTCATACTCTAACTTTTTCAAAACTTTTTCAATCTTCACGCAATACATGAGCGTGAGCCATGAATATAGCAATATAGGTGGAATAGAATGGTGGTTGTGGAGAAGACAAAAAGGAGAAGATGGTCTCACATCAACTAGGCGTATCAACAGGCTATGGAGATGCCCATCAATAGATATCAATGTGAGTGAGTAGGGATTGCCATGCAACGGATGCACTAGAGCTATAAGTATATGAAAGCTCAAAAAGAAACTAAGTGGGTGTGCATCCAACTTGCTTGCTCATGAAGACCTAGGGCAATTTTTGAGGAAGCCCATCATTGAAATATACAAGCCAAGTTCTATAATGAAAAATTTCCACTAGTATATGAAAGTGATAACATGAGAGACTCTCTACTATGAAGATCATGGTGCTACTTTGAAGCACAAGTGTGGAAAAAGGATAGTAACATTGTCCCTTCTCTCCTTTTCTCTCATTTCATTTTTTTATTTGGGCCTTTTCCTTTTTTATGGCCTCTTTTTATTTGGGCTTCTTTGGCCTTTTTTTTATTTTTCGTCCGGAGTCTCATCCTGACTTATGGGGGAATCATAGTCTCCATCATCCTTTCTTCACTGGGACAATGCTCTAATAATGATGATCATCACACTTTTATTTTTCTTATAACTCAACAATTACAACTCGATACTTAGAACAAAATATGACTCTATGTGAATGCATCCGGCGGTGTACCGGGATATGCAATATGACAATGGTGGAGTGTGTCATGAACGGAACGGTGGAAAGTTGCATGGCAATATATCTCGGAATGGCTATGGAAATGCCATAATAGGTAGGTATGGTGGCTGTTTTGACGAAGGTATATGGTGGGTGTATGATACTGGCGAAAGGTGCGCGGTATTAGAGAGGCTAGCAAAGGTGGAAGAGTGAGAGTGCGTATAATCCATGGACTCAACATTAGTCATAAAGAACTCATATACTTATTGCAAAAATCTAGA